TTCAACACTGACACTCTCTCGCGTCCCCAGATTTATATATTTATACCTTGGTAAAAATAGATTTTTACTTCCTCCGTTGTTATGTATGCAAGCGAAGAATTACGAGCCTATGGCAACACCTGCTGATGGCTTTCTTTGATCTGATGATTTAGAATAATATGAGAAATATTGGGTAAAAAAAACAAGATTCAAATCAAATCTTCCTTATGGTAATAATGACGCTATATCTCATATTTTCTAGTGTTTTTAGAAGAAAAAAATTTACATATATGTATCACATATCCCTCGAGTCTAAATTTAGCGTCATTAACTTTGTTGCTATTTTTGGCACAGGGAAATGAGGATGCAGAGGAAAGAGTAAGTGCCACTTCATCATTCAGAAACTCTCATGCTGAAAGGATTACAGGACGTCTCTCAGGATACCCACCTTGGGAAATCGCCAGGTTAACGTGCTCGCCTGTCAGAGAGAATCAATCTGAAAGTAAATGTTTCTCAGTCAGCATGCTTGATTTTCAGGAAGTTTATCACTCAGCTAGGAAATATGTTTCTCAGCTAGCGTGTTTCCCGTTTGGCAAGTTTGTCGGCCAGTGTGGTATTATAATCAGCCACCAAAGTCAACATGCTTGTCATTCAGCAAGTCAGCAGATATATCAGCAAGATGATCAGCATGTCTGCCAGTCAACTAAGCAGCATCTTCGTTAGAAAGTTTCTTTTACCAACTAGAAAGTCAGCGTGTATATTACTCAGCAAGAACAACTGCCATTGAGTCAACATGATTGTCCACCAGAGAGTCAGCATGATCGTCAGCCAACAATTCAGCATGACTACCTGGCAGCAAGTCACCATGTTATTCAAGTTCGAAATCCATCTGGGTTAGATAATTCTGTCAAACAGTTAGCCAGTTTATTAGTCAGAAACTCATTATGCTCATCAGCAAACAAGACCTATCAATCATGAAGTAAAAATAATTATCGATCAGTAAGTCGGCATATTTATCATCAAAAAGCTGGATTAATCAGTAATTCACCAAAGACACACGGCACCAGTATAAGAATCTCATAACATAGTCATCAATCAACAACAGTATAAAAATTACTTATATTTTCAATATATTGTTGTGGTGATACTTACCATAGTACGATACCTACTGATGATAGTGACAAACATGCTCATTGCAATGACAACATAAGTGATAATGATAATATAATAGTAAAATCATAATAGTTAAAATAGCAATGACGGAAATAATGGTAATGACGATGATAATAATGATAATGATAATAATAATAACAATAATGGTACTTAAAATGATTATAATAATAATAATGATAATAATTAGGACAATAATATTGATAATAATAATAAGGGTACAGGAACTGATGATAATAACAACAATAACAATGACAGTAATGACTATAATAATGATAATGATTATGATAACGATAACAATAGTGATGATGATATTAATGATAATAATGATAAGTTGCTATTATTATAATAATAATGATAATGATACTACTACTACTACTATTAATAATAATGATAGTGATAAAAATGATTATGATAATGGAAATGATAATAATGATAATAATAATGATAATTGTAATAATGACGATAATGATAATAATAATGATAGTGATAATAATGATAATAATAATAGTAATAATGGTGATGATAATAACAATAATGATAATAACAATAATAGTAATAATAATAGCAATAACAATGATAATAATGAGGAGGATAATAATAATAATGATAATAACAACAACAATAATAGTAATGACACTAATGACAATAATAAAACTAGTAATGATAATGATAACAATCATCATCATTATAATAATGATAATAATAATAATAATAATAATGATAATAATAATAATAATAATAATAATAATAATAATAATAATAATAATGATAATGATAATAATAATAATAATAATAATAATAATAATAATAATATTAATAATAATGATAATAATAATAATAATAAAAAAAAATTACAGTAATAATAATAACAACAGAATAATGGTAATGATGATAATAATGATTAATAATAATAATGATAATAATAATAATAATAATAATAATAATAATAATAATAATAATAATAATAATAACAATGATAATAATAAGGATAATGATAATACTTCCATTAATAATGATAATACTTCTATTAATAATGATAATTATATAACAATAATAACAACAGCGACAACAACAGCAACATAATGATAATGAAATTAATCATAACAAGAGAAATAGCAATTATAATAATAACAATGATAATAATGATAATGATAATAATGATGATGATAGTGATAATAATAATAATAATAATAATAATAATAATAATAACAATGATAATAATAATAATAATAATAATAATAATAATAATAATAATAATAATAATAATAATAATAATAATAATAATAATGATAATAAAAATAATAATAATAACAATAATAATAATGATAATAATAATAATAATAATAAATAATAATAATAATAACAATAACAATAATAATAACGATAATAATAATAATAGTAATAATAATGATAATGGCATATATAATAGTAATAATAAAAATGATAATAATAATGACAATAATAATATTAATAATGATGGTGATGATAATAATAATAATGATAATAATAATGATAATAATAACAACAATAATAATAATAATAATAATAATAATAATAATAATAATAACAATAATAATAATAATAATAATAATAATAACAATAATTATTATGATAATGATAATGACAATATTAATAATGATGATAATAACGATAATAATAATAATGTAATGATAACGATGATGATGATAATGATAATAATAATGATAGTAATAATGATGATAATGATAATGATAATAATAATAATGAAGATAAAAATGATGATAATAAAGATAGTAATAATAATGATATTAATAATAATGATAACAATAATAATAATAATAATAAAACTACAACAACAACAACAACAATTATAATGATGATAATAAGGATAAGAATAGCAATAATAGATACGATAATAATAGTAATAATGATAGTGATAGAATATTAAAAACAATAACAATGATAAAGATAAACATGGACAATGATTATTATAACAATGATAATTACAAGAATTGTAATGCTGATAATAACAATAATAATGATAATAACGATATTACCAATACAAGAGCCCCCCCAATAAAACTCTCTCAATCTATCTTTCTCTCTCTCTCTCTCTCTCTCTCTCCCCTCATCAGTCTTTATCTTTGTCGCTGTCTCTCTCTCTCTCTCTCTCTCCCTCCTCCCATCTCTCTTTATCTTTGTCGCTGTCTCTCTTTCTCTCTCTTCCTCCCCCTATCTCTCTTTATCTTTGTCGCTGTCTCTCTCTCTCGCTCTCTCTTTCTCTTTCTCTCTCTCTCTCTCTCTCTCTCAAAATCCAGAAATTATAAGGTTTTATCGGTTTTAATGGTATGAATGAAAATTAATATCTTCACAATATAAGATATGTATTTAACCGGTTTCGAAATGTTTTTTTTTCTGACGAAAATATATATTTGAAACTGCTTAAATAAATCTCTTGTATTGTGAAGATATTAACTGTCATTCTTACCTTTTCTACGTTTCCGCAATTAGTTTGACATGTGTATCCTATGTAATTCTAACAAATGGCAACTCGCAAAATAACAAAATTACATGATAATTCCTGACAATTATTATTCAAGTCTTTAATTGTTTTCCACGTGATCCTTTTTTCTTTATAAACTTGCATCACTGGCCCCTTTGTATTAAGTCTTTCGGTATAACTTACACGAAACTCATTTCCCGTATATATCGCCTCTAAGGAAATACAACAGTGCTGTTACAAAATGCGATATCCCATCTCTCTCTATCTCTCTCTTTTCTCTTTCTTTTACTCTCTCTCTCTCTCTCTCTCTCAAAATCCAGAGATTATTAGATTTTATTAGTTTTAAAGGTATGGATGAGAAGGAATATCTTCACACTTCAAGAAATGTATTTTCTCTTTTATTTTTTCTATTTTTTTAATGCCTTGCAGTTGAACTTACACGAAACATATATGTATATATCATTCCTGATGAAATATCATGGTTTTATTTATCACATAGTGATTCCTTCCACTCCGCCTGAATTAACTAATCATATACCATCCATAATGAAATTCATAACTGAATAATTATTCAGATGACCATGTGAAGGCTGGTCTACCAGTCTTGACAAATTTTCATACCTCAGAATTTTTATGGTCTACGAAGTAAAGTGAAGCAAAAGGGTTAAGAATAATGATGGCATATTTATACAATGAAACTATTCGATAGAGCTTATGTTCAGAAAGATGAGTGTTGTGACTGATTGACTTTTAAAATAGCACTAAACCATTACTTTCGTGGTTCTTCAAGGAAATAAAAGGCAAAGAATACAGTCATACCAGTTACGACAACCGTAGCCTCTTCCTCTCTCTTTCTTCCTCTTTTCGCCCCTTTCTCCCTTCTAATCTTTATTCTCTTCACTCGCATCCAGAGTCAACGAACATCTTTTCGCAGTGACCAAGCACCACACCCGTCGGATTTCTTCTAGTTGACCTCATCATGTTCAGGATTGTGAGGCGCCTGCAGGTCTGGACGACGTGTTCCAAGCGTCGCCATTACAGAGCTTCCTTCGTGTGGGGAGCTCTATCTTTGCTGCAAGCCGTTTCTCCTATTTTGCCTTTGCCTTGTCTTATCACACGTTTTGGGTTCTCCTCTCCTAGTCTGCGTGAAAGTTTTGATGGATCTCGTTTTCCAGTGTAACTTCACATTCCGTTTAGGTGATGCGTGGATTCCCCATGTATTTAGCATTTTTCACTCGCCGGTCTGTTTCTGGAAAGGTCATGTGCTGTTCGCTTTTTTTTTTTTTTTTTTTTTTTTTTTTTTTTTTACAGGGAACGGAGAATACGATTGCAAAATACTGCGATTGAAGGATTGCGTAAGGCGTTT